AGTGGATGCCTACAACTACTGGTATTATAACTTTAGAACATTGTCTAGTCAAATGCAAAAATGGATGATAAAGATTTTATGTCTATCTTCTAAAATCCACCTTGTGAATCAATAAGCTACATCTCTACCATCTCGTGTGATGATCTAGTGGAAGGGTATGGAATGGGTGCCCCCCTCCCTCATTCACAGAGGAGGAACTTGCAAAAATCATGTCACTCCTGTTGGTAGCAGCCTCATCAAGTCATCAGGCAAAATTTCAAAACATCTAGGTAATTTTAAACAACACTTAGCCATCTTCAACACAAAATAACCATGAAAATGGTTCATTTGTTTCATGTGGGAAGGCTAAAATCCTCTTCAAGTTCTAGCAGTTTCCAGGAATATTTCCTCCTGGTCAGCCAGAACTCCCACTGTGCTGGCCATGTGATTTCTCCTGGCCAATCGTACCAAAGGTAGAAAATCTCTGACCAATCAGAAGTCTGTACTTCCTTGACAGGAAAAAGACCTCAAAATGGCTGCTAAGAAGATCTGGAAGTTCTGGACTTGATCAGGTAAAAATGTAAGAAAAATAGGTATTGTACAAAAGTTACAGTATACTTGAATGTGGTCATCCTTGTCTAAAAGAGTGTAGACTTGATGCAAGTCAATGTCTTTGTTCCAAACTCTTTTTACAACCATCCTTGATGGTTTTTATATAATCTTTTAATATAGAATTGTATTTTGTATTTTGACTGTTTAAAAGTCAAGGAGGTGGGATGTGACTTATAATAATAATTATAATGAAATAGGGAGAGAGAGCCCAATGTCATAGTTTACTGCCATGGATGGCATTTGCAGTTGCATCTTCTAACTTTAATTTTTTGTATGAAGCTAGAGAGCATTTTCACTCACTGGGGATACATTTGAGTCAAAATGTTGACCGTCCTACCTTGTATTGCTAATTTTCATATTCACTCACATAAAGTTATAGATTAACAAGAGTTCCACGATCTCATACCTTCGCCAAATGATGTTAACCCTTGCGGTTGAAGAATCATACAATTTTAATCATTGATTTTGAAAATAAGAGCCTCATTACCATGGATTATATCAGTTGATCATATTTTCCACTCAATGACAACCTTATCTTCACAAAAAGGCTATTATAGCACTTTCTCATAAATTATGCAAATGAGGTCATGATTTGAATAAATTATGTTTATTGATGTTCGCCTTCACTTAACTTCCAAATGTGGCAAGTATGAAATTCCCAGAAGTTACAACTATGAAATTATAAAATATTCCCATTAATTATGAAAATTAGGTCTTCATTTACATAATCTATATCCTCAGATGTTTTTTTCGTTCTCTATTACATGTCACAAGTGTTTCATAGTCCTATTATCGAACTAAGCAGACTTATAGAATTTCCTCATTAATTATGCAAATTAGCTCCTGATTTGCATAATTATCATTTGATTGTGTCAAGCATCACTTCAGCTACCTACATACCAAAAATCATGACAATCCGTCCACCGGTTCCTGAGTTATCATCCTTCGAAAATTTTTCAACAAATGCTCCTGCAGTTCCAGAACAAGGCGCTAGGGGGGCCAAACTTTTGTCACTTCTTCCCTACCCCAAGAGCTATCTACCAACCAAAATTCGTGACCCTGACATGTCCAGATTGTGAGATATCAAAACCGGAAGTTCTGCTGCAGTGCCAACAAAAGCCGCCAGGGGGCCCAAAATCTAATCATTTCTAGGTCTTATCAAGACCTACCCATCTACCAAGTTTCATGACAATGCATACTAAGCTTCTTGAGTTATGCTGTTCACAGACAGACAGACAGACAGACGGACAAACGCTACTGAAAACATAACCTTCTTGGCGAAGGTAATTAAACAAAACGTTCTGCATCATCTGCAGCCCAATAGCAATACGTATACCGAACAACAGACCAATCCGTCCAGCCGATCGCGAGAAACAGCTGCTGACAGAAATGTTTCGAACAATAGTAAAACCTCCTCACGGAAGGATATCTCCTTCCCCGGAGGTAAAAATTAATCCGCTCATCTACGAAACAAGGACAGTAGCTTAGCGCCTCAGATCAAAACCGCCCTCACAAAACTGCTGCCATAAACTACACATTGAGACCGGTGGACATAACCGCACTCCTCTGGAACAACGTATTTGTCGATACTGTAATTTAGATATAATAGAAGATGAACTTCATTTTGTAGTAGAATGTAGTTTGTATAACAGAGCGAGAATTGAATTTTATAGACTTATAACACCGATGTTTCCTCATTTTACACACCTAAGTAATACAGACAAATTCACATTTTAAT